ATGCAGTAGGCCTACCGAAATCCTGCCGTTTGCAGATTTGGCTGACTGGGTTTATTTCAAATTTTTATTACAGGTTTGGATAAAAAAAAAATTAAAAATCATAAACTTCCTCTGTTTCTGCACGATTTTTATTAACACCAGTTGTTCAAAAATTGTTTTCTATATGCTGTCTAGTAACCCTTCCAGGTTTTCAAAAAAATCGTTCTAATATTGAAGAGTGTTTTAAAAGACGTTCCAATATTTTTGTGACAAATAAATATATTTCCCGCATGTTCTTATTCCCTAATTCCATTGACTGTATATATATATATACTTGTATAGTTGAGTGTGAATTTGTATAGTTGTGTATATGTATATCAATCTACACAATACGTGTATGCACGATCGTGCGTGTATGTGTCAATATTTGTATATATAATTTTCATTCATAAACTCCACAATGCATGTGAAGCTGTAATTGTGTAAAGTAAATAATAGGCATTTCATTAAGTTTTTATTTCAGACTAACAATTCTTAATAAACAAGATATTGTTCACATAAACTAATAAGATAACTTGGAAATCATCGAAATTTGTTTAACAATTAAAATTTATGGTGATGCATAAAGAAAGCCTCGAAATAATTCAATTACTACTTAGTGTAGTTGAAAGTAATCTCATCGTTAATTAGGAACGGTGTTCTTCAATTTTAAGTGTATAGATTTATAAAGTATGAAGCAATATGATGTAACTGAATAGTGGATGATTTCCTGAAACATAATAAGATGACTATGAAATTCAAGGTCCTTGAGTTACCTTGCCATAGTCAGATATGTGAGATATTATCACTATATAAGTAGTATGTAGAAGTACATATCAGTAATCGGCATTCCAGTTACGGTAGAAGAATTTAGAGTAATTTAGTCTGAAATAACACGTGTCAATGTTTTGATAATAATTAATAGGTATCATCGGTAGTTAATTGTAATTTAGAATGTGTTTTACATATTTGGTAAATTCTAGAAAATATATTATTTGTTACAGATAACGTTTGATCATGGACCAATTATGTAAGGAGCCTCATCTTGATATAACAGTTGATGAAAATGAAATAGTTGCTGGTGCCAAAGAAATAATTAAGAAAATTAGACCGACATGGTCTCTGGACAAATTAAACTTCAAAGTGAGGAAACATTTTATAAAATAACCAATCATCTGTTTGCATGTATATTAGAAAGATTTGATATTATGTATTCAATTTCTGAATTTATTATAACTTGAAACATATGTTTTCTATAGATTTTTAAATGAAATACTTGAAAATTGTATGTATAAGTATATTTTGTAAGTATTAATGGCTGTTATCAACAAGTATGCGCTTCTTAATTTTCACGATTGAAATTATTAAAATGTTACGACAGTATAACAAATAGAATGAAAGGTGGTTTTTCTTTTTATCAAGTATTTTACTTTATCTGTTGATAAGAAGTTTGTTTTTCTCGATTTTGGTGTTTAAAATAGAAGACAAGTTCTTCGATAGTAACATGTTTCTAATATCTGAATAATTACAATTACATTTCTCATCACGTACAACTGTTCTCAACGTTCACTACTTGGAATCATTAATATTGCATGATTGAAGAAGTCCTTATTGATTAGATGTAATAATGTAAACAGAAAATAACGTTACTTACAGATATTTACAGATGGAATAACAAATAAGCTAATCGGAGTATGGTATGTTGGACATTACAGTGATATGGTCTTGATTAGAGTTTACGGGCACAAGACAGATCTGCTCATCAATCGACAAGATGAAACTCGAAACATCCGAGTAAATACAATATTAAGAATGAAAACACTATATAACAATTTATCATTTATTATCAAGATCTTATAATTCTGTCTTTTGAACAGATATTAAACAAAGCAGGATTTACACATTCCATTTACGCTACGTTCAATAATGGCTTAGCTTATCAATTTATCGAAGGTAATACGCTTACTACAGAGACAGTCAGAGATCCTTATATATATCCACTAATCGCAAAAAGAATGGCTCAAATGCATAAGCTCAAGCCTGACGATGCTGAAATACTTAAAGAAGCCTGCATTTGGAATAAAATAGAACAGTTTATGGATATTATGCCAAAAGAATTTTCAGACGATGCTAAGCAAGCAAGGTAAGGTATAACATAGAGTTTCTAATTTTTTTAATCATATTAATTGTAATAAATGGCGTTTCCAGGTTTGAGAAACTCATAAGACCGTTTACCGTGTTGAAACAAAATTATCAGCTACTAAAGAAGGAACTTATAGATATAAATAATGAAGTAGTTTTTGCTCATAACGATTTGCTTTTAGGAAATGTGCTTTATAATCAGAAGGAAAATTCAGTTACTTTTATCGATTTCGAATACACTGCGTACAATTATCAAGCTTTCGACATAGCTAATCATTTTGCAGAATTTGCTGGTAATTGAAATACTGCTGAATGAATTCAATTTTGTTATAAATATAATATTATATTGTTATAAAATATGCAATTTCATTTTAGGTATTGACAATCCTGACTATTCTTTGTATCCTGGTGAACAATTACAGAAAGCATGGATAAATATATACCTGCAGGAATATAATGATATTAACTGTGTACCTGAAACTGAGATTAATTTACTGTTCTCACAAGTAAATAAATTTGTTCTTTTATCGCACTTTTTTTGGGCCTGTTGGGGACTCATACAAAGCGAACATTCAACAATCGACTTCGACTTTTTAGAGTAAGTACATATCAAGCATATGCAAAGTATAAATGAAGAGTTCAGGGTAACGTACGGCCAACTCGATTTTGACGTGACTGTCTACTTAGTTTTTTGAATAGTTCGGAGCAACAAATAGTCGGAGCAACCGTAAACATTCGGGGTAACAGTTACCTTCAAGGTGATCCGGAATGTATGCATTATTCGATATTCGCCAATACAGCTAGGAATACAGATTTATATCGCAAACTGAATTATGACTGTAAAGATGATAATGATAATGTCAAACATGATAATGATAAATTCGACGTTGTGCAAAGCAAAAAATATTTTCTAGTCACAAAATTATGTTAAATAAAATATATTGTTCATGATGTTCAAATGTTTTTGGTCAGTAAATCAGTTCAAATACACGTCAATATGACAACAGGTCAGTCGATCGTTTGTTGCTCCTAACGATTCGACAGTACATTTTCGGGAGAATTTAATTTCGTGCCAGACAACAAACAGTTACAAACGGTTCACGATATGATCGTTGGGTGCCCCGAACTAACTAACAAATTTGTTCTTTTACAATCACTTCGAAATCGAGCTGAGGATTCATTGCCCTGAGCCTTTCAAATATTTCCTTCTATATTTTTGCATAATTACTTCATATGGTAGTTTCATGAAGTTACATTAATGTAAATATATATCTTATAGGTATGCTGCTATGCGATTCGATGAGTATTTCAAATTGAAAGAAAAATACCTCAACACAAGATTTTAAAACCAAAGTTATTATTAAATGAACATTCCATATTTTATTTCTACCGCTTACTTGAGTTTGTAAATAACATTTTAACAAATGCCCTTTTTTGTTGTATACAGATCAAATATTTTACAGTCACATATGTATATAATTCTATTTTTAATTTATACCAGATGTTATACATTGACAGTATTATAAGAAAAATAACAAAGAGTAATATATGTATTTCTAAAATAATGTATGTACAAGGTGCTGTCTTTTCTAAATATAAAATTGTACAACATGCCCTTATAAAATTTTGATTGGATTATTATCCTTTTAATATCTAAACGCTAGTGATGGGCACCATCGACTAAAAACTATCGATTTAGTCGATAGTAGCCAACGATACTTTTAGTCGGCTAAATCTCTGATACTATCGACTACATCGAACCAACTTCAGATGACTGAATTATCGGTAGCTCGATGGTCCAAGTTCAGACGACTAATATAGTATATTGCTCGATAATCATCGACATTTCGATAGTCCAAAGTCCAAACGATTGAAATAGTATTATGTACATATCGCTCGATGTTTCGATGGTCAAAAATCCAAACGATTGAAATATATATCAATACTATCGTGGAAGTAGACTGAAGAAGGAAGAGATACCTATACTCTATATATGCCGTGTGTTTTCAATGGCTTTTATTAGGAATTCTATTATCAAACATATTCGGCAGTATCGGATAATGTATTTATTAAGAAAAGATGGATTTTGTTTAATTCTCATGAGTTAAAATATTTCAAACTGCACGGAACTTATTTAAACATTTAGAAATCTAAAGATTATGGGAAACAGAAATGGATTAGTATTGTTAAGGAAAATAAAACAATAAATCATCGTGCTTTTACGAAGTTTATATAAGTTCATATATATTATATTTCCATAACTAAATATTTTCATAATTGTAAATATCTGTTAATACTGACAATACTTAACTGATTTAAAGAAACTTATATTACTTATAACTTGAATTAAAATTTTCAATAATTGGTATATTACGAATACAATTTTACCCAATTTTTGCGGTCTGAAATATTAATACTGATGAAATATTAATACTAATATATGTATATACTTGTCAAAAAATTATTCATAATTGGGATTTTAAAACTATAAGCGGTAAATAATTTTTTTATTTATTCAATATTAATATTTCAGACCGCAAAAATTGTTTAAAATTGTATTCGTATAATACTTATAGACGGTAGAACGCCATAGACTATGATCATAGTATAGAGGCATAACCGCGAGAGCGATATTTCATTCGACTAAAAACTATCGACTAATTAGTCGATAGTACGTTGCGATTATTCCCTAAGTAGTCGATACTTTAAATTAGTCGATAGTGCCCATCACTACTAAACGCAAGTGTTGGATTTTTGAAAATAGAGCCAGAAACCTCTTTAGGCTTAAATGTATGCATGTATGTAGCTCCAGTCAAATCACATCTTATCAACATTTTGCAGCATTCTTATCTTAATAAACTATCTACTTCATTGTCATCAGTCATGATTATAAAACGAAATAGTAATTATGTGCCAACGAAACGAAAATTTTAATCAATATAAACAATTTTAAGCAAATATGTGCCTGTGTCTGTATACACAGTCCGTCACAAAAGTATTAACATATCTTTTAAAACGAGATAAATTTAATGTTGGAACAAATAATTTTTCTTTGAGCAGAATCATAAAAAAAAGTGAAGTTCATGATTTATACCTTTTTTTCTTCAGATCCCTAATACAAATTTAAAACATGTTTTCTGCAGATTTGAGTATATAATCTTTCAATTTATTCCAGTTGACCAAAAATTAAAGAATTTATACTTTTTTATTATTTAGTAAATTAAAAGCCTCTGGGTATTTCAAGGGAAATTATAAATTGATACAGACACAGTCTGCGAGCCTTCCCGGTTGCTAGGGGTTGTCCAGACCGGGTAAAACGGTTAAATAACTAAATAAATAATATGCATTCAATATTTCTGTGACTGACTTTACGTTCACGTACATACACGGATTACATGTTAAGACCCTATCATATGGTTAAAATCGGTCAGTTGACTAGCGAGTATGTTTTTGTCTGGGACGATCACGTACGCATCTGCACGCACCTATAAATCAGTGTTTATTTTTAGTAGTAAAGACTGTGAGGATTTTCAAAAATACTTCGAAATACGTGCGTTTCGTCGCGCGAAATGCCGCTAATTACAGTTTGAACCTAATGGGAATAGCTCCTCGGTTTACATGAGAAGAACTGCATATCGACGATCTCAAATTACCTCTTTACACAGTGAAAACGAAGTTTTCGAGCAAGCAAATAAATCAACAGCCGCGAGTTTGAGTGTGTGAATAATTTGTCACAGTGTAGCAAATCAATTTGAATCAGATAATAAAATTCGACACAACCAAATGTTCAGATAACGTACTCGATTTTTCGTTTCGAAAGTAAAAAGTTTTTGAAACAAAATACATATAGTCGATTCGAAATTTAATAATAGCGCGAAATTCGTGTTGTAACAATCCCAACGTCGAGCAATCAAATCATTGTTTTCTATTTTTTATTGTTTCGATTTGTTTACAAGAATTCCATTTTCGAAGAGTTGGAAGTGACCGTCGGGAACACAAAAAAATATCCAGTGAATCATTCACGTGTGTGCGAGTCCCGGCGTCGTCGGTCTACAGATTCGTAAAGTTTCTTCTAGTAAACGTTTCTCTGATCGTGTAAGATGCATGTCGTATGCAAATGTTTAAACGTGTCCATAAAATCAAGGGGCACTGAACTGCAGAAGGTCAACATAGACGATATTGAGTTGCTCGACGAACAGAACGATGTTTTCTTCAGCCAGGTAACTTATATTTTCTTCATAACATCTTAAAAACCATTGGTAATGAAGTGATTTTAAATTATTTTAACGTGTGACACAAGTTCTACAGAATTAAAAATCACGATAGTTTAGCTAATAAATGAAAATTAACGTATATCGCGATGTACACTCAAATATTTGTTGATTATGAAATTCATTCTGTATTTAGCACATAAATTTGTTGTATAAAGAAATATTTGTTATTATACATGTTTGTGAATTGTTAACAGAGCCTTGCAACAGTAACAGAGCTCGAAGGTATCACTAAAGAACAACCTGGTCTAGTAGAGATAAGAAATGTGGGATCATGGGTTATTCACCGCTGTTACAATTGTTCTATGTATACACACGCTGTACATAGAGATTATGGTGCTGCTTTAGTTCTTATAAATACAGACATTGTTGTGAGTACAACATTATCTCATAATTAGAAAGGATATAGACGAATTCGAATTAGTTTGATAGAAGTACAATTGATTTTACCTGATTTAATTCCAGACTTCATCGGAAGAAATAGATAAATTGAAGTCCAGTTCAGATTATAGCCCAGTATTTAGAATAATAATTGCCCACAATAGTTTGGATGAACTCGATTATCTTCAACCTACGAAGTTTTCTGGTAAGTTGGCAATTGTTAAATTATATACATTTTTCAATTAATATATCATGAGTCCTGTAAGAATCTAAAACGGTATTAAGGAAGAATATATTATCATCTGTTATTGATTAAAAGAATGTTTCTTATGTTTCACTTCATCTATTTAGTGTCGCAGTTGCCCAACAATATACAAGTAGCTTTGGGTGGCCTCCAACAGCAGCTCGAGGAAGCTGTTCAAAGGAAGTCCGCAGAAATAGAAAATAAAATCCGCGCTTTGACAGCGGAACAATATCAATTATTAGAACAGTTTCGTGAAAGAGCACACAATGAGCATATAATATTGAGAAGGTATTATATAGTACTTTATACTATTTACGATCAGATTTATGTTCCTCGATCTTATACATATTTCTATATTTATTACATTTCAGGTTAATCTGTAAAGGAGAGGAGACGACTAGATTAACCAGTAACATAGAGACTCCTCCTACAACACCGGATAGCTTTACAACTAATTTAACTACCTCTACAGAGAATACAATTAATATGTCGCAAGTAATATCGAATGAAACAAAGATCTTCACAGATCCTATCGTTATACCCAAAACTGGTGCTAAACTTTCGCCCAATCCTCTAGTTGTACGTTTTCACCATAAATTATTTTATAACTTATTTATAAACATCTCGATTATGCGATATAATCGTCGAATATTTTTTAGAACGGTAGCATAGACAATAAAGATCGATTATACATATATACTAAAGAGCCGACAAGTTTTGACACAGAAGCTTTATTTCCATTGGAAGGAATGGAGGACGGTCTTAATACCAATCAAGCTCAATCTTCAGACGAAGGATCCGATACAGATGGTTAGTATACAAATTCTAATTTAATTCAAACGCAAAATGCTTAGATAATGCTATTATATTTAGATTCAGGTCAAGATGAAGGTATACACATGCCAAGAGGACAGCGAGGCGGGCATCCTACACTAGCTAAATCATTACCAGTCAGCGTCCCATCTTTTCCCTCGTTCGTTCGCAGAAATGTCCAAGATCAGGATGATGATCAGGTATTATTTAACAAAAGAAAACTGATTTTAGTTGTAATCAAATCATTAGTATTTTTACATGTTATTAATTCGTTGGATATGCGCGCATATATGTACATACATCCTGTAAGATAATGTTTTTTATTGAAAAATATGAAATTTTATTTCAGCTGTCAATAGATCCACATGATCCACATAATATTCGAGCTTCGATCAAAGCTCTGGCAAAAAGCGTTCACGGTGATACAGTATTTGGAGATTTGCCACGTCCCCGTTTCTCTACTCAAATCTGACTTCGTAGCGATCTCGAGGAAATAGAATAAGCTAAGAATCTAATACGTATAAAGTACCTATTATCCGTAATTGTCTTTCAGTGGATGCTGGGAGAGATCAATGTAAGCAAAGGCAGAATAAACGCAAAGGAAGTATTGATATTTCGCGCGAATATATTTTAGAGTATAAACAAATTATTTCGAATGTTAGCTTTGTTAGTTCGTTGAGTTTATAAAAAGGAACAGATTTTCATACCTGCATATAATTGAGGCTGTATGATATATAAATGTGCTATATATTTGTTACTGATCACTTAATGTCTATCGTAAAAAGATGGGGGAAAATGCTTAGATTTCAGGAAACTATGTAACGTGAGATGTACGATGCCATATCCGAAGATCGTATTAGAGTGAAGAGGCAAAGAAAGTTTTTTACGTATCAATTAGTGATTAAGCTACTAAAATAATAAGTTTACAATAATAGCTATTATTTTTACATTGTACTATTATCGTTAGAAGTAGGAAAGCTCATTATAAGTTCAACCATTGACTTCAATCATAAATTACTGCTTTGAGCTCATGTCATTCTTTGAGACTTTACTAAAACTTTCTTTAAACCCATATAAACCATTTTCTTTTTACACTACAAAATCTTTTAATTAAAAATCATTACTTGTTGCGAATAATAGAAGACATTTGATCTCTTTAAATCTATTGTACCGTAATGCATGAATTGATATCTTTTCTTTGATTAATAGGCTTTTCAATTCAGTTACAGGGCATCGGCTAGAGAAAAAATTGTGTTGGGTTTCTGGAATATAATTTCGGAATTAACTAAATATGGGTATTTTTTATAAATACATTTGTAAAATGAATTTTAGAACAGTACGCATATATCTACGTTTATATGCAAAAGTGTACTACACAATTTATTTACGTACGTTTTTGTTACAAATACATATTTTACTTTTATATTTTGAATTTGCTTCAAGCCAATTGCTGTGTTACTTTTTTTATAGATTTATATAATTAATTTGTAAGGATTTGTAATTTTTGTACCGATTACAGTACCATGTGATAAACGACAAATTACAGATTAGAAACGATGGAGTGAATTAGTACAAAAACCTATGTGGCTTTTCTAATCATGTAATGCACGGTTATAAAAATTGTATGTGAGTGCTCTACCGATTAAATTATCAACTGTAAAAAGTACTCCGGGAATGTCAGAAATGTTCTATATCACATACAAAAATTGATTAATGAGAATAAAATGTTGCTGTATGAAAAAATAAGAAAGTGTGTACTTGAATCATTACCAATAACTTATAATTCGAAAATCATACACTGTCAATTTTGGTATATCCCTTTTTATATCTTATATGACACGAAATACACAAAAAGCATGATGTCCAGACATTTGTAGCAAAATCTTGTTTTTAGAAAAGTGCTTCGTAGA